GATGTGGAAAAAATCCCCACATGGCAATGCTTGAAGGAACAGGGATGGTTCGATGCTGCCTTGCTTGTTTCCGAAAGAGACTCCACTCCGCTTGACATGACATGCCATGAAGCGACCAGACACAGTTTCATCTTGTGTTCTAAACATTGGAGGAATTCTATCTTGGTATGCAAAGCAATCCAAAAACACCTTTTCAGTGCCCACCCCGTGTTATATCTTGAAACTTCGATCAAAGTATTGGTACAACCTATTTATAAGTGGGCCTTACCTAGATCCTTTGATGGTTACATGCATGACCCGATACTCGCAGGCCATGTAGCAACTGATGTTATACAACAACATTCCAATGGTCTTGAACGAGCCTTCTCGGAATCTGACCACCAGAAGATTGCTAAGATTTGGACAGATATGGCGGAGCACACACTAGCCAATTCTGCTGTTGATGCTGAAGGTAACATCCTAAGTTTCAAAGGTGACTTTGTTGGTAGATCTTGGAAGCAATTTCTGCGGCGAACCACCTTTGACCGCCCTTGCCCTGTCCAAGTGAGATCAGGGGATGTGCCTTGCCGAACCTCGTGCCCTAACATTGAATACCGAAGACACCTTAAACAGGTTCATAGAATTCAGAGCCTTGCACGACAGTTGAAGTCCATCCAACGCAGTTTTAAGTTGGCAGCTTACCTTCAGGCTGAACAACTTTGGAAAAAGATCTTGCAGGCCAAAGGTTTTCACAAATCCTTTACCACATGGCTGCTTATGCATGATGTCACGTATGTTCCGCTTCAGCTGCCTGACCTTGAGTATGCGGAAACCCTACGTGATTTTGTTGTTGCGTGGCATCAGAGCAACAATGCCTATTTCATTCGTGAAAGACGACGTATGCGATTTGTACAGACAGTTCTTGATGTTAAAAAGGGGTGAAAAAACGCCTTCAAGAAGATTGAACAAGACCCACTGCCTCCCTTGAGGATCGTACATACCACCAAAAAGCAAGAGGCCGTAAGGCAGCGATGGCCCAAAACAGGGAGGAATACTCTCACTTTTGCGAACGCCCCAATCTTTCGTATAGGTGCTGAAGTTACTTTCCAAGGGCAACTTGCTAATGTTATTGACATACAGTCCAATACTATTAAACTTGATAAACAGATCTTTTTGAGGTCTAGCGACCTTAGTTGTGTACAACCCACCTGGACAATGCTACATGATGAAATGCACAACCTGGTTTTCGATGCTTGGTCCAAATATTTTTGTAGGGATGAGGAGGAAGTGGCCGATTTTGCCAACGTCGTCCAATACTTGAGTCTTTTGGAAACCGAGCAAACCATGAAATATGAACCGATTACCGACATGCAATTCCTCGATGCAATTAAGTCAACTAAACTGATGAGTGCACGAGGTTCTGATGGTTTCTCGACAAGAGACCTCCAGAAATTACCGAAGCCATTGTGGACACTGCTCGCCAAATTCATACATAGCATTGAACAGAAGCGAAGCTGGCCGGATCAGTGGTTAGTTGCTAAGACCCTTTGCCTTACCAAAGGGCACACGCCTGAGTCTCCCCTAGATATTAGGCCTATAACTATTATCTCGAAGATGTACAGACTCTGGTCCAAGATTCGTGGTAAACAGCTTGCTGCTTATCTTACACAACAAATACCACCATCCCTTGGTGGACCGGCAATGGGTATTTCAAGTGAAATGATTGCCTTGCTCAATGCAGATGTCATTGAAGATTCGTTTGCCAGCGACTCTGCGCTTGTTGGGGTAGTTGTTGACATCATTAAAGCCTACAACGCTATCCCTAGAGAACCTTTGCAGGATGCCCTTTTGGCTTTGGGTGTACACCCCACAATTGTACATACCTTTGCTGCAGCCATGAAACAGATGAAACGGGTTTTCATTATTGATGAATCTGCAGGAACTTTGTTCTCAACCTCCACGGGTATTGTTGAGGGATGCGCTTTTGCAGTGCCAGCAATGCTTGCAATCAGCATGTGGGCAGCAAAAGTTGTGGGTGGGCATATGAGCAACCACCTTTGTTTGTTCTTTGCCGATAATTGGTCAATAACTAACAAATCCGCAGATGAACTTGTCATTGCTTTCCAAGAGTTATCCAAATTCCTTGATGCCCTCAAGCTGAGTATCTCCAAGGATAAATCTTGGGTGTGGGCACTCAACACCAAAAATAGAAACCGCCTCTCGCAGCATTCGGATGCCCTCCAAGGCATTCGTGTCTGTTTGAAAGCCAAAGACTTAGGGGTCACACAGAATTATTCTCGATGTAGAGTTAAACCCTTACTCAGTGGGAAAATCATTGGGTCCAAGACCAAATGCAAAGCAATTGGAAAAGTTGCAGTTCCCAATGCATTTCGAAAGAAGATGGTCGATGCAGCCGTCTTATCCAGACATAATTATGGCGCTGCATGCTCATTGCCTGCCCATAATGATTTTGCTCGCCTTAGGGCTGCAGTCGCTGAGGCCATTCGCCAGGACAAAGGGGGTACCAACTCCCTTCTTGTCTGTAATGTTCATGAGCCTCTGGACCCTGAACTCAAGGACCTGATCAATAGGATCATGACCTTTAAGAGGTATTTTCACAAATTCCCTGACAGATTGGAGCCCTGTGCCATGCGGCTTGAGACAAGTACCCCCTCCAAGCATAAGGCCACTGGACCGGTAGATAGCCTCCTGTTGTCACTGGATAAAGTCAACTGTAGACCAACTATTCAGAATTGTAAGATTGTCATCGACTCGCCATATGGACCCTTCTGTCCGATGGACTTCACTGGCCGGACCCTCAAATGGCTCTTTCGTAAATTGTGGACTCGTGCCTGCGTCCATCAAATTAAGCGAAAGGACTTTCATCAAATCCCTTGGGATTTTGATCTGGTAGCCAGTGCCTACTGCCAATTGACACCTAGAAAAAAAGCACTTGTGGATGCCTATACCACCGGGAAAAGGATCACCCAGGATAAATTTGTGAAATTTCAGACAGATAATGATGGCAAGTGTGTCTTTTGTCATGAGCAAGATACCAAAGAGCATCGTGTCTATCATTGCCCAAAATGGACCGAAACACGGAGTAAGATTCGCCACCTTTTTCCTGTTTTAGAATCTCTGGGGCCAAATACCATTTCCATGGGCCTCCCCAGTGAGGTCGATGTTTTTATTGAGGAAAAATTGCACGCAGCGCAAACGGTGCCATTCCAGTTACCTGGGGATGCTCCTGATGCTCATGAAATTTTTGTTGATGGCACGGCCTATTGTAGTGAACACCCATTCTTGGCCCTTGCTGGGGCGGCAGTAGTCGAGGCATTCCGCGACTCAATTGTTGCCAATCTCATTTGCCGGGCCCGTGCGCCATGCATCATTCAGAACTCATATATTGCAGAAGCATTTGCATTAGTCCTGGGTCTCAACCACTTTTGGGTCATCAATTTTTATTCGGATTGTCAAACCGTTGTTGACCAGCTTACTCACATTTCTTGAACACCACAAGCTCCCCATCATCCAAAACGGTTACACTGCAATCTGGGATGTGGTGTATAAGCATCTTCATGCAAGGAATTTTCAGGGTATTACCATTACTAAGGTTCAGGCCCACACAAGTTGGCATTCGGTGTCTTGCAGTGAGGACCGGTTTCGTGGGTTTGCTAATGAACAGGCGGACCACCATGCCAAACAAGTTTTCACACAAGATAATCCAGACCTGCTGCTCCGGCATACCAAACAGCTCGAGCACATCCGTAATGCTGCCAAAGCACTGTCACAATTTTATCATTTTGTTGCAGAGTTTGTGGGTGACTTCTTTCTTGAACATAAGAAAGTTGAAAGATCCACCCTTGAAAAGAAAAGACGGTTGGATGCCGAAGCCATTCGTGCTGCCGCCCCGACAGAGAGACCTGTCTGCTTACATGCGACAATTTCGGGAGCTGTTGGCAATTTACAGATATGTTTGAGATGCCCATACCACCCTATCTTCTGTTTTCGCATCCTGGAGTGGGCTAAGCAATTGATGTGGTGTCCCGCAAATTGCCATTGTTTGGGGCAAACCACTTTCATTGAATTGTATTTCGATTTTATGCTTACCACAAGTAGTCAGGCACCAATCAACATAACACCAGGCAAGCAGCGACCTGGACATAACATTGCGCATTTCCAACTGGCCGATCGTTCCACGGTTGCGGACCTCCTTGCAAATGTGCCACTTGGGACTCAGACCAAGAATTTCAATTTGTGTCTTACATGGCTTGAATCACAGGGTGTCCACCCCTTTGCTGGTCACAGAGATCGTGTCAAACGATCTGACACCTTGGGTTGGTTAGGGATCCGTGGCTGGTACCCAGCCGTACGTGGTGTACCTAAATTAGTTCATGGGCATGAGGTATATCTTGAAATCGACCGATTCTTGAACCAGACCTCTCCACCTGCGCGAAATTTGTCACACCCGTGGCGTGTCAAAACCACACCAAAGATTTCTCATCCAACTGAGCTTGACATTTCCTTCGAAAAGCTTGTTCAGAATATCAAAACCACCTGAATGTTTCGTTTCCTTCGTGCCAATTCGCTCCCCACCATTAGGCCTCTAGTACGCATGTGCTGACTAGTCGTCTGAGGATACAAAACGTATCCTGATAAGGCTGAAAACCCACTGTTACAGGTAATAGGATAGATCCAAGTCATATCTTCTTGGCTCAGAGACAAGGACCAGGGGTCATAGGATGAAAGCAAGAACATCGACATGATCAACTGAATGAGCTTAACGCCTCAGGCTGGATCCCTGTATATGGTTCATGGCCGAAATCAACTATAAGTTACAACGCAACAAGATTTTTCTTGTAGAATCCTTTTGCTCCTAATAGCGTCCTTGCTCCTAGTAGTAAGGCCAGGAGTAGCGTCCTTGCTCCTAGTAGCGATGCCCTTTGCTCCTAGTAGCGTCCTTGTGAACACTCCCCAGATCCCCACGACCGAATCGAGCCGCTATGCGCCGATCGACCGAGATGTGTATTGCTCGCTGCGTCCAGAGTGCCACGGCCACCTGGGGAAGAGAAGGGTACCGAGATGTGTTTTTTTCGTTTTTGAAGGGAGAGCTTCTTGCAAGTAGGTTGGAGGCCATCGCTATTAGGTTCTTTTTGAAGAGAGAGCAGTCCCTCTTAAGATGGTTTATCACTGAGAACTTGGGAATCTGTTCCGGGAATGCAGTCGCTTGTGCGCTGCGAAGTTTTAAGCTTTTGGGCTCCTCAGTGGGTATAGCCACAAGCTCGATGGAAGCTTGCCCAAACAAGAATAGGAAAACAAATACGGCACATCGCGAACTGAGTCGCAAGGACTTGCTGAGACGTGCCACGATGGATTGTGAATTGGTGATCATTGACGGATCACTGAGGCAAAATAACATAAAATAATCATTACTATCGATACAGTTGGGACATGCCAGCGCCACGGACATCTCAGAAGATAAAAATCTTACCACCTAAGGTTCCCGTGGCCCGTGCCATGGGAACCTTGAGCCTAGTCGTGCCCTCCTGCCTGAAGCCATGCTTTGCTTTTCTGGAAGCTCCGCAGCCGGTGCAGGAGGAACCAGGCAAGGATGGGCAGATGGTGGTGTGGATGGGTGGATTGCTGGATCGTGTGTGGGGCAGAAGGAGAATGGTGGGTAGGGCGACGGCAAAGTTTTCGACGATCTCATGATGCAGTATGATGCAGTCCATGACGTGCCATTGTGTCTCCTCCACGGAGCTCCGTGATATGATATTTGAATATGAAGTACTGACCGTACGCTATTCCCGATACTCAGGTATTTCCAGTAGATGGGCGCTAAGGTCCGGTCCGCCCACAGGGACCTTATCTCATGAAGCTTTGCGGTTGGCCTTGCACGATCTGGTGAGTTGGGGCAGACAAAACTGGAATGATGAAGCGATCCCAGGCATGCGTTCCGACTTGAGAACGCCGCGGGTCTAAGCAATACTCAGTAGTTTGAAGAAATCCTTGACATTCCTTGACACTCTCAACCATTCCGAACCTCGACTTGTGCTTCACAAGTCGAAAACATCACCGATCCGCCGAACCCCCCAGACATGATCCCGTCGCGCCGGCAGACGCCTCCCCGACGGCCTCTCTGGCGCCACCAACGCCGGTGATGCCCAAAGTGCAGAGCTGCCAGGGCTGCGAGGCCATGGTGGACGAGTTCGCGCAGAACGCGCAAGGCGGAGAACCACTTGGCTCAGTGGGGCGGTGATGGTGATGGGACGCGAAGCGGAACCGGTTTCGGTGGTTCTCAGCAGATGACCAGACTCGACGTGACTTCTTCGTTCCTTCACTCTTCAGTTTCTTCATTAGATTTCCTGGACCCTACTTGCACGGGGCATCGCTACTAGTAGCAAGGACGCTACTAAAGCGGGGTCGCGGTTATCAGATATCAATTGCCTGAAGTCACTGGGAAGATGAGCTTTCAGGCATGCAAAGGTCATGCTCAAATGCAGTGACAGTGGCATGAAGATATATGAAGATTATAAAGGTTTTTGTGAACTTGTATGTGGTGTTTGTTTTCTTTGCTCACCACGTCAGGACAATTACTTTGTCGAACGTGCCTGCGGAGGGAAGATGAGGAATTGTTGGGCCCTTCAGTGGAGGAACAGAAAGGCTTAGAGGAGCTAGCCAAAGTGCTGGACAACGTTTCTTGGACACTTCCTTTGCGTTGGGAAACTGCACGTTTTCTTTTTGTTGGGCCTCCCCCGCTGCTAGGCATGCCTCCGACTGCAATGCAGTGAACTTGTTGATCATGACTTCCCCCTAGCGGAATCTCAGTGTTATTTATATTATTCAGTCCGCTCTGGTAGTGTTTCGTGATGTTTCAGTAAGGAAATATTGGAAGCCAGGGGAGCAACCTGCACAGATCTTAGATTGGATGCTCGGCTGGTTGCATGCTTGCTTGGTTGCTTGCCCAGTTTTTTGTGTTCTTCTTGGGGGCTGAGCCAACACCTGTGGCATTACAAAAGTTGCGCTTCTGTCATTTAAATGTGAAAGCCGGTAGTTATATCCTTCAGGTTGTTTATATTCTATATTGTATCAGAGTGTTGTTAAAATTGCCAGTGCCAGTGTGCCACGAACTGCCAGAACGGGGGCTTTTGTGGACTTGTACGCTGAGGCTTTGTCGGACCATGTGGCAATTCCCTTCCGACATTGTCTGACTAATTGATTTTGGCCATTCCCGTCTAATAATCTATCATATTCGATGTGCGATCCATACCTTACTTCCGAAACAAGTGCAGATGACCATGTCCACTGTCTCATGCAAAACCTGCGATCCATGGACTTTGCTATTCACTCTTGGTCATGCGGGTTGTTTGAAGTATATATGTAATTTCAGTGCCTTTTTCCATTTTGCAAGATTGTGCTGCTGTCAGGTGTTCACTTTCATACCCTTGCAGCCAACTTCAGCTCTAATGCTTAAACTCACACCACTTCAGCCCAACCAGCCCCTACGGTGTGGTGGTTAAGCGACCTTTCTGCGCATTCACGAGCACAAAAACGAAGCTGGATCACACCTCTCCCCTTTATTAGATGCCCCTGAGGTCCCCCAAGTATGTAGAGCACACAGTTTCCAATACATTGGTGGAAAGGATTTATATACTAGAATATGCACTGTATGGCTAGCTGCTTTGATTATATAGGTCTCTCTATCATTGCTGTCTTCTAGCGGGGTGCTGAAAGCATCTGAAAACCTAGACTCGTGGCTCCGTTTCCATGATTTGTCCAGCAACTGATTCGTTTGTCACCTCAATCTGAAACCAAAAAGAATGTGATTCAACAAAGTGATGGCAACTCACAAGCCAAAGGATACGAGATGACTGTCGAAATCTCTCCTGTTCATGGCAGCTGGTGAATCTATGACTCAACGACTCACTCCTGGTCCATTGGGTATGGAAACGGGTCCCACCGACATGGGTCACGTTGGGTCCTTTGCACCGTGTCATCGCCCTAATTGGGGACGCTGAGGATGTACTTGGGCGATCTGAAGGAGGCGACCGACTTTGAACTGCTGCAGCAACGGAACATCACCGCCGTCTTGAATCTCATCAATTGGTGGGAGTTCCTGAGCGATTTCTTCTCCGAACCACGACCACGAACATTTGCGGGGGCACACGGGGGGGTCTGGAGGGCGAACCGCACGACCGGTCGCCCTTTGTTGGGAGTGCCCAGTACTGATGGACCCAGTGAAGCTCCGAGTGTGTAGCTCCGCTCAGGCTGAGCTCTCGGCTGCCAGAGGTGGCGGACTTCTCGTTGCTGTATAGCTCCCATGAGGTAGACTTTCTCGAGGTAGACTCTGAGGAGAGGTGGAAAGCGGGCAGGCTCACTGGTTAGGTTCCTTACTTCAAAGGGAAGCACTTGCAGTGAGTGGAAGTAAGATGAAGCAACCAAAGGGCCACACGTCGGTCTTTACAAATTATGGACAGGGACACCATGTTAGGTCGGGGAAAGGGGTTGTGTTGTGTGATATGCTTCTTTGTGATTTGATCTTTGGACCATTTGGTAAACTCATAATATTCATAGAGACCTCCCCTCTTACAGGTTCAGGAGCCAGAGGCACTTTCTAGCTGCAGGCTGGTGAGTAAGTTCACCTTTCGTGGACAAGGAAGTGGCTATATAAAGCTTGGACTAAAAATGGGAGGTTGCCGGCCTTTGAATATTGTTTGCATGGATGATTCGCCTTCAAACGCCCCATTTGCGGCCGTGACAAGTTGATGTTCCCACAGTCGCCCCGTTTGCGGCGGAAATTGTCGGAACAGCATCGGTGCAAAAGAGGACCGGCTTTTCTTCGACATTGTGGAGAAGTGCTGGCCCCCTTGCGAGTCTTTCTTGAGGAAATGCAAAGCTCAAGGGAAGCGAGTACTGGCCAGCCAACTTTGATACAGTAAAGTTTCCCTGTTTTAGTTTGTTTGTTGCTGAGACAGAATCTAATTACATGCATGCGTTGCAAAGAATTGCATGAAAACAACAGACCTGGCACCTCCCTTTTTATCCATCGGCGACGGCTTTTGTTTTAGCATTCCTTCAAGGTGAATTGCAAGGCGGGCCACAATCGATCTGCCTGCATGCGTCTTGCCTGAGTAATCTGAGATGAGAGTTGCCTAAGCTAAAGATGGGATTCCTGGGCGGGAAGAGTACCTCAGTGTTTGCCATTTGGAGAGGTCCCTCACCTTGCGTTGATTTCAATATGAAATTGTAGAAACTTGTTGCAACCTCCCCAAAACATCCTAAAACACCCTGTTGTATACGGAATAGACCACCAACTCACCCGAGCAGAAAGGATGCGAATCTCCGACAGCTCTGGTCGTTATGGACTGCGACACAGGTGTGTTTCTTGGCTGGTGGCCTGCGAGGGCTATGGCTTGTTGGAAGCTGTCGACATGGTCCAGACCAAACGGGGCACCATTTTGTCCAACCACGGCTGCTTGGAGCAATTGGTCTAACCGGACGCTACTATGAACAAAGGGCATCGCTACTAGGAGCGAGGGACGCTACTAGTAGCTCCTGGCCTTACTACTAGGAACAAGGACGCTACTGGTAGTATTCTTGGGCGGCGAAAAAGCTGTCCAAAAAAACATGACGACGAGCGAAGAAAGGCAGCGACTAGGTAGCAGGAAAGGTTGAGAATAGATGAGATGGTAAGTCGCACAGCTCAAGTGAATCTGCACAGAGGCCGTTCGTGAGAGTCTTTTTTGGGCTTGGTGGTCAACAGACTGGTTCGCTCCTAAAGCTAGATGAATGACATGCATACTCTCAAAGCAGGTCTTAGGTCAGCAACAACTCCGCCTTGATCACAGGCCTGCCGTGCCAAACCCCACAACTGGCTGGGGTCCAAGATAGGTGTTCGATTGCGTGAAGCATACAAGTTGACTTTTAGTTGCCAGCTATTTTGTCTGGACGTATTGATACATATATATATAGTCCCCTGCCGAATAACCCCTATAGAATGGGGGAGGTCGAGCTCCAAAATGACCTTGCATTTTATAGAGACTTTTCTCTAGAATCAAAAGTCAACCTACCTGAAACAGATCCACTCTGAGGATATCTGAGGTGAGAGAATCATATATTGATGGATCACTAGGTTGACCACCCTCATTTTATAGAGAATATATGACAATTGAGGGCATTTTATAGAGGACAGAGGTTTTGAATCTATAGAGAGAACCTGGAGCAGTAGAAGAATTCCTGTGGAATAACCGGTGAATATTGGCCCACTATAAAATGATATGTTTGTTCAAAATTCAGCTCACCTTTCTAAAATGAAAAAAATCATCCTGTGAGTGTCCAACCCTGTCCTTATAAAATGAATATCAACCTCTTTAGACATATCTTGTTTTTGGATTGTCATTTTCTGTCCAATCTTGTTATTACATGAAATTCAACCTTGCAATGTTCAATCATGCTTCTATAAAATGGAATACCAGCCTCTTTTGCCATTGCTGCCTAATTGTCCTCTAAAATAATATGTCAGCCTTGATGTGACACCCACTTGTCTATAGAATGAGGACCACCCCTGGCTGTTTCTCCCACTTGTCTATAGAATGAGAACCACCCGTGGCTGTTTCAATTAGATAATTCAGATTTTGAGCCTACAATTCTGTTACATTAGTGCCTTCAAGGGTTACCCCCTTTATTCTATAGAGAAACTATGCTGTACACTACAAGGGTTGAAAGCTAGATTCTATAGTGGGGCATTGTGGTCCCAGAGGTTGGTTCAACCATTTATCACTATAGAATGGCGTTCCCACCGGTCATTATTCCACAGAGGATTATATATATATATATATGTGTGTGTGTGTATATTATATATACTGCTAATATGTGTAATATATATATATATGTATATGGCATCAGTAAGGGCACCACAAATGAACGCTAGTTTTGCCAGAAACTGGTCAATCCAGGCTTTCGGCTGCAGCTCTTGCGCTTGGCCTTACGTTTGGACCGCCTGGGCCAGCCAGTGGAGAAGAAGAGAGCAGGGAACTCTGTAGCCATCGGCAGCGAATCTCAGCTCAAGAGCCACTTGGCGATGAAGGGGTCGCGATGTGTTACAACTCCCGGAGGGACAGCCTCCCATGCCTCCCACACAAACCCACCGTTGACAAGAGCTTCCTTCGCGATCTCGCACAGCCAGTAACGCGAGGGGGCCTCAGTGTTGGGAGGCTCCACAGGGCTGGCGACCGGGTCGGCTGCCGACAGCCCCGGTCGAGGCATCATCAATGAGAAGCGGATGACGGTGCAGTACGACGCTCACAAAGATCGCGGATTCCGAAGGCAGACCTCGCCCTTCCAAGCAATGCGCCCTCGGATGCCTGGCGTATGTTCAGGTGTGTTTGGGGGGCAGCAAGGTAGGATCGGGAGGTGTCCATCAGACTTCAGAGATGTCAGCAGTTCATCCTTGCACCATCCTGCGGGCGTGCAATGTGGTTTGCCTCAAGAGGTGCATAGCCTGAGGAAAGGGACAAAACCAGGACGAGGATTTGGATTTGTTGGGTAGGCTCGAAATGCAAAAAGACGAAGTGCAATAAAGAACGAGTCTCAAATGCTGTGGGTGGTGAAGGTGTATCTCCAAGCTTTGTGGACATGCAAAGAGCCACCTGTTTTTGCCTCCATAGAATCCAACACCTCTTGCATGCAAATGCATTGATTGGTGCTTTCATCCCAACGTCCTGAGGAAGTTGTCCTTGATCTCAGAGGAAGTTCACAACAACGTGAACCAGAGATCATTGAAGGTGGAGCTTCTCGCATGCTTGTACCATCGTGGCAAGAAGTTCCTGGACGACTACGAGTATACCTCGAAGCCTCCAACAATAATTGGCAGTGGCTTCAGTGGAGACGTGGTGCTTTGCAAGAGAAGGGAGAAGGCAGCCGTTGTGCAAAACCAGGAGACCTCCGTGCGCTGCGTAAAAAGCTTCAACTTGCAACTCATGGGCCCAGACAAGCTGGAGATGCTGGGCCTTCGGAAGCAACAAATTCTGAAAAATCATCCATATGAAATAGAGGACTCTCCAAGCAATGAGTTTTTAGATGCTTGACGGGGATTCTGTAGTAGCTTGTGAACCAAGGAAGAACAGGTGAAAGGTTCGCAGGTCAAGACAGGCCCAGACCGACAGCCTCCACTCCGTGTGGCGCCAAGGAAGCTGAAGAACGAAGCGGTGATTTACCTCTCGCTGGAGCATCCGCACATCGCTCGGCTGTTTGATGTCTATGAGGACAACGAACAGGCACCTAATTTCTATATGGAGTTTGTTTGAACTTGAATGACAGACCACCAGTGAACTCCTTTTCAGGTGTTTGAGAGTGCTCCATGTCTTGCGCTTTATTTTGGAAGGAGTTATGGATAGTTATGGTCACATATGGTCACATGTTCAAGTGACTGGTGCTTGGAAGCTTGGAAGCTGTTCACCCACTGAGGTGAGCTTGGTGATGCAATATTGCTCTGGCGGCACCTTGGAGAGTGCCATCCGATCACAGGGAGCCTTTGTGGAGTCGACGTTTCAGGCTCCGTGCCCAGCCAACCGGACTTCGGCGGGGGGGTTGACCTTTTCCAGGCCGCAGCGCAGAGATGAACATGCGTCCACTGGGCCCGCCCAGGTTCAGCTCCTGCACACAGTCGGTTCAGCTGCCAAACATGTTGCACTGCCCCCAGGTTCCTAGATAAAGCTATGTTTTCAATGGCTGGGACCCTCACAGTTCCAATCTGTTGAAGCAGCCAACCAGCTTTTGAGGCTGCCCTAGAACCAAAGTGATTTGGCAACTCCCACTCATAGTTCCACAATGTTCCATAGTTCAGTTCCGCCCAAGAAGGGCTGAAAAAACCGCCAGGATTTGGCGGTGCCCATGCTGTTGGCGGTGAACTACATCCACTGCTGTGGCATCGTTCATCGCGACATCAAGCCGCGGAACTGGGCCGCTCGGACCGGCTCGGGCGAAAGGGGAGTGGAGGTGAAGGGCGGCGAAGGGAGGGAAAATAGGGGGAAGAAACGGCACTTGTTGGTCCATATGAATTTGAGATGAGGGAGGATGAGGGTGCCTACTTGAGTGTAGGGATCACTGGTTCACGGCCAGATGTTGGAGATGTTAGCATTAGCATTGGAAGACCATTGTCACCGGCTGCTGCGCATAAACATGCAACAAAACGGTTGGTTTGTGGGTGACTTTCAATTTTGAGGCTAGCATTGAATACTTTAGAGTTCATTTGCATGTTTGGTACAGTCCAGAGGTCACGTTTTGTTTTGCCAGTTTTACCACTATGAACGCTGGTTTCCGAATTGGAATATATAACCTTCTAAGTTTCGGGCTCCAACCCAGAGAAAACCTTCCAAGTTTGGGGCTCCAACCCAGAGAAACAGCTCAATTTGCAAGCAGATTCGTTCTTTTTGTGTCAATGCACAACCTGATGCAAGTGATCCGTCACTGATCTGCGAGGTCTACGAGGCAGATGGGAAGACCATCAAGCTCATCGACTTCGGCTTCAGTGTGAAAGGCCTTTCGAAAGCAATGAGCCTAGAGCTTCAGGATATTTGAGGGCTTGGCCTCCCCAAAGCCAATGCAGCCCCCAGGTGCCCCCGAATGGTGAGCCACATGTTTGCTTGCAGCACACTGTCGGCGCAGCAGAATGTTGAGAGAGAGAGAGAGAGCAAGTGCAATGGCATTAATATGTGGCAGTGCCCAGAGGTCTCAAAACATTGAAGGCTGGATTCAGTAGGTGCAGCCAAATGGTCCAGTAGTTGACCTGAGGCTGTTCTGGACATCTTTAAGGTGGTGGACACAGGTTGCTTTAACTGGAAAGGATGTTGGCTGTTCTGTATCAGTTTCTAGGTTCAGCTGATGTGCGTCCATTCTTCAGAACTGGAAGCGTGTTTAAAGGTCTTCAGCTGTGAGGCTGTGAGGGGCACACCTTTGCAATGCAAACAAAGGATGGGTAGAAGAAAACATGAAGGTATCACAATGCGGGGCGATAGTTAGTTGATCCATGTTGATCCCAGGGGTGAGCCCGAGAGTAGCGCCTACTGTGTGCTCCGAAATCGAAAGCCAACAGTCACCCCTAGACATATGGTGCATCCAGTTTCACCTGGTTTTAGAACCACATTCCGGCCTTCTTGCGCTTGACCGAAGGAACCGTTACAATTAAGCTACTAGTAACAAGTGCATCGCTACTAGTAACAAGTGCCTTACTAGTAGTAACAAGAAGCTATTAGTATATAATGCCTGTTTAATTCTAATTAAATTCGAATTACTAATAGCTTCTTGTTACTACTAGTAAGGCACTTTTTACTAGTAGCGATGCACTAGTTACTAGTAGCATTCCGGCCTTCTTGCGCTTATTGACCGAAGGAACCGTTTTGACGCTGAGGCTACTTAAGCACCGAAGGGCTTCGTGGATGCATGGGTACCCTGGGCTACCTGGCGCCGGAAGTAGTGACCGCTGGTCTCAGCAACGAGAACGCCTACACCGACAAGTGTGACATTTGGTCCTTAGGCCATTTGGGGTATTGCGGGCTGGTGGTTAGGAGGAGGTTGACTTCCACAGCATGGGTTTTCAAAGGTCTCTTTGGCGCTAGAGCTGCAGGGAGTTCATGAAAGACTTGCAAATTGGTTTGTAGAAGATTCAATCAGAGCTTGCGAATTGGATGGTACGGTCATGTCCGGTCTCAGTCGACTGTTTGGTCGCACGAACACTCTCATTTCTCAGATGGTGATGGATCGACTGATTGGTTCCGCTGTTCCAGGTGTGGTCTTCGTGGAGCTGCTCACGGGGGAACCGGCCTTCCACCGGGATGCCGGGCAATGCGACGGCTACACCGAGGAGGTGGTGCTACGGGAGATCAAGGAGGTCACGGAGGAGAGTTTGCAGCGGATCCTGGAGCAGGCGGATCCTGCAACTTCCACGACTTTCCGAGTTCCAAGAGCAACAACACCCCGGGACGGAGAACAGAGAGATGAGATATGATGAGATGATGGAGCAGTGGTCGTGGTAGTGGTAGCGGTGGTGGTGATGGTAGCAGTCGTGGCAGTGGTCCTTATCGTCCGGCCAGATGTTATACACCAAATGAGGGTCGCCTTGGCCTAACCAGAATGAAGCAAGGAGAGGAACAATTAGCTTCTGTATTTTTGTATGTTTGTGTGGTTTACACGGCTTACTCTTCTTCATTCACCATGGGAAGACTATTCATATGACATCTCACAGGTAGGACCTTGGCAGATCATTCAAGGAGAGCGCACCTGTGGCTATCAGAAAAAAAGAGGAAGTTGGAAAGCAGGCTCTCTCTTAGAAAACTATCTACTATGCCTAGTATTGACTCCTGCCAGGTGCCCAAGTCTTCGAAGAGCTTTCTGGAAGAGATGCTGACCAAAAGCCCTTTGAAAAGACCATCCTCCAAGGACTGGGTGAAGATGTGCCATTGCTCTATCAAGTAGTGTTAACCAATCCTACTCGACAAATTGGGCGATTCGTCAAAAGGGGAGTCAAATCCATGGTTCAATTTCTTCACCCTGATTCCAAGGAGGTGTTGGATCACGACTACCTGGGCCCAGCACGCGCCAAATTGGCTCATCCACCTCGAGCACTTCCCGTCAGCACCATCCTGGACCGCTTCCGTGCGCATGCACATGCCTCCCAGCCGTCCAGAGCCTGGTTGCTCGCGGTGGCGCGGTCACCAACATATCTACCCTGGGAGGATTTTTGCGCGGCTTGAGCCTGAACAAGTTGAGCCAACTCTGATATGTTCTTTCCAGACATCCTTTGTGTCCGCACCCTGCGATGGTTCTAGGCTTGAAAACTGTGCATCCAAGAAACATGTGTTTCGAGCACTCAACATCCTTCTGTTTGTTTTGTTCACACCTTCAACTCAATCATGCTCACCCTCGGCTTAAATGAGGCCCTGCGGGACACCTTCAAAATGTTCGATGCGGTGGGGCTGAACGGTACGGTGAACCTGGAGACCTTCTTATTGGTCATCGGGCAGACCGAGTCGAACTTGGACATGGACGAGAGCCCCAGGCGAGAGAAGGTGTGCGTTTTTTTTCACTTGGGAGAGGCCATGGATATCCCTGGATCAAGACCTGGCATAGCAAAATTGTGGGGCCCGAGACAGACAAGGACGATCAATCAAGGATGCCAAGCCAGGCTAGTCCTCGAATGTCCTGGATGGCTTCCCCTGAAACATAGAACTGGTTTGCCTGGTTGATTCTCGTGCGAGTTGTTTTTTGTGTGAACCATTGAGCATGTGCCCCTCTCAAGGAACGGAAGTGTTGAGAGCAAGACGCCAGCAATACCATTGTAAAAAGGTAGATGAACCACGCACGTGTTGTCACAGATGTTCGCTGAGAAGTGATTAGAACTGCCAGGAGAAGGATCTCCAAGCTTTGGAAAGCTGTTTGTGGTGAGCAGGAATCCTTGAGCTATTGCGAGTTTCTTGCGGTCCTTCTTCCCCCCATGGAGGATGTCTTTGAAGACGCTTCCCAAGTGAGTGACGAGGTGAACAGCCCCTTGCAGCCGCGAGAGCATTGGAATCCTTCTCGCTCTGTCTCCAATTACTTCTCGCAGATGAAGAGGAGCCCGAGCTCCTTCTTCCCGCAGGCCCTTCTCTATGATGAAGAGAAGAAGGTCAGTGAAGTGGTCGGAGAGATGGCTCGTTTCCATCGCCGCTGGGCGCTGATTCGATTCAAGGATGGCACCTTTGAGTTCTTCGACTACATGGATATTAATCACCGACTCTTGGAAGATGCCGGCTCCAATGGATCAGCTGCCAAGTCCAAGTCTTGGTCATTGGGGAAAGTTTTCACCGCATTTTTTGGTGGGGAGGCCATCTGGGAAGATTTCTGGCGTTTATGTCTTAATCAAATAGTTGAGCAAAAGGAAGAACACACTGCAGTCCTCACCTGGAAGAGGAAGATCATCTAAACCTTCCAGAGTTGGCTAGCTCGACCGAGGCTGCCGAGGCGTTGAGCCGCATTTGCGACGCTCCAGTAGGCAGCCTGGCCAACTGCTCCCGCTTCTGTGCCTTCAAAGCGCTGGATGTGCAAACGCCACTCCGAGACGTGCTCCACTTGATCGCCGGGAGAAATCGAAAGAAGCGGCAGGGGCAGGTGCGACGGGTGCCCTTGAAGGATGGCAGCGAGATCGTGCCTCGGTGAAAGACAAGTTGTTGTGAATATGTTTGATATTTTTAGATATGTTTAGTATGTCTAATTTTCATGATTTTTTTCAGAATATGTTAAGAATATGTGTATCTGTATGTGTGTCAATATACATATATATATATATACATGCGCGCAATCATCAATGACAGCGGAAAGGATGCGAAATCCAAAACGATCTTCAGCAAATTTGCATCAACATACATCAACTCGACTCAGTTGGAAAAACAAATCCCCTCGTCCAGAAAAAAGCATTTTCCAGGGTGAGAGACATTTTGCCAACCTGGTTGGATGGTTCTCCAATTTGGGAAGTCGGAGAGGGATGTGATGTCACCCAAACGGACTCCACAGCAAATTGAGCACAGGACACCGCAGCTGAATCTCACTGGGTGCATGCCGCTGGTTTGTGGCCTCCAAAAATATCCAAAAATAGTATTTGAACCGTATTCCTACAGATGTTCGTCCGTGCATGGACCAATATGGACCATTTTGACCATGGATAACACCATTTGGCACCTGCCATTTTGATGTGCCAAATCTCCAGGTGGGCGTTTTCAGTTGTCTGGACTTCTTGAACCTGGCACTGAAGTCCACTGCCCCGACTGCGGTGCTGAAGTCCTTGTCGGCCAAGGTCTTTGACCGTAGAAGTACCATTCTACAGGCGTGTGGGGCCATAGGAGTCGTAGCAGCAAAATACGATAAGCGATCGGAAAAAGATGGATCCAACCTGATCCAACCTAGTTTGTGATCACGAGAGCCAGGGTGGCCGCTGCATGGCCGTTGCTTACATTCCGATTGACAGTTCAATTGGCCGATGAAGACTCTCGCTGAGAATGGAGGGAAAATGCACAAATGGAAGACTCTTTGCCAATCTTTCTGGGCTTACCAACCCCAAGATCCTATTTTTCACCCTCAGTGCAGAGAGCATCTTCTAAGAAGATCACGTCGAACACTGAAAAACACACCTGCAAAAAAAAGCATGTTCCTGACCTTCCACGCTCCAAAAGGAGTGGGCACCTTCCACGCCCACAATTCCAACAAAAACATACAGTACGCCCTGGACGGGACCCACATGGACCCAAAAACCACGTCGGGTTGGTCGAACGGTCGAAACCGGTGAATTCTCAGGGTCCATGGGATCGTTGGGAGACGGAGGTCTCCGTGAACCAAGATGAGCCGCTCCTCCACGCTTTGAGCATCATGAAAGCGGAAGGTGTGGGTTTGAGCGGCTAGCGGCTAGGTCGTGGCAGAAGGAAAGAACTGAAACCATGTTGTGAGTGTCATCGAAGAAGAAACGACCGAGTTCTGGAGAAATGACTGGCCGGCTCACTTGGTCCAGCAGTCATGTTTGGGTCCAAAACCATTGTTTTACCTCCTGGCGTTTGTGAAACTGGATGGCGCAAGATGAAACAGGTTCCCTGACACAAGAATCAGATCAAGCCGGTCAAACCTAGCAGCACAGAAACCGCATGAAACCACAGGCCTCACCATTTGTCCGGTGACCTCACGGGAGCTTTCGGGCAGCTTGGGCGGTGTGGTGGCGAGCAATGTGGTCTCAGCTGCCGACTTGAAGCCTGGATTGGCTGGTTGAAGCCAAGAAGGGTCAGAGGTGGTCAGAGAGTTGATGTTCAACGGCATTCTGCGCGCTTTTGTGTTCAAAACTGAGAGGTTACTTACTAGAAGGGCGGGTGATAGATGATTATTAGGCTGCAAACACCTGTCAAGCAGATTGGGATCTCCAAGGAAGTGGGTCATTCGGTCCAAGAACTTTGCGGCTTTGAACCTCTCGGTCCACGACTTTGTCGCCTGGCGTGGCAGTGCGGAGAATGCAGACTTGGACCACGTCTTGCGTCAGCAACGCTTAAAGCGCTTCAATGTGGCGACTGGGTCATGGGCTCCAGCAGTTCTTACTGTTCTTGTTCTTATTACGTCTTGCTCTTTTGGGCCTTTTTCCCCCCAAACAGTGGTTTGCTCTTACGGCACAATATGTGTTAACCTCAAGGGTGCTCACCGGCATGCGTGGCAAATTTGATGACCCTTACAGCACATTCATGCCTCGAGATTCCATTTTGAAGGAAGTCTCGCACAAAAGCTCTCGCGGAGAGGTCTGCGCCTTCGTTGTGGTTGTGGTACTTGGTCTTGGTGGTCACTTGTCGTGGCAGGTGTCAGGAGGTCGGAGCGGTTGTACTTCGATGTGACGACCTTTTGAGGCGCAGCCGGACTTGATGACTTGGTGGTGGTCTTTGGATGTCTTTGGTGTGCTCTGATTTCATTCCAGGTGCACCGAACTGTTTTCACCGTGAGAACGTGACAAACCTCGTGCGACAAACCGAACGTGGCAAACCTCGAACTTGACTTCGGAAGCACCGCAGGGCCGCATGATGTCAATCACGATGTGGATTTCGTGGATTTCGCGCAGCACTGTTTAGAGCCGGCAGACTTCGTGATACACACAGCACTAGCACTTTGTGAACCGCACTGTGCAGCTTTCATGGCAAGTGCAGTGCTGCACTTTCGGTGCAGATTTCATGGCAGGCGCCGCACTTTGTAACCTGGGCTGCGCGCATTTCGCACCAGCCACAAGGCGCAGCATTTTGTAGACCTTGCTGAGCAGATTCCATGGCAGACACGGCCATGGCGCTGTGTGATCCCCGACATTCGGATTTCATGGCAGGAAGGCGTGGCCCCTTTTTGAAACCAGAAATTGCAGATTTCGTGGCAACTGCCACACTTTGCGAACCTCCAATTCCTCTCGTTTGTCCTTTCATGCTACCTATGATGTGCTCTCGTGTGGCTGTTTTCATGTGTGTGTGTGTGCGCTCTAGGGCACGTATTCAGCCTTGTCATGTTGCAGGCGTTATATGAAGTTATATAACGCATTATAACGCTGTTTAGGGACTCGTGCCGGGATACTTATTGTTTCTTCCTTGTAGTGATTTTGTAAAAGGGTCATGCTTAAGATGGCAAGAAACAGAAACCTCTTGAAGGTGAGCGCCTCAGAGGACGCTTCCTTGCACAAGTTAGCCCGTCGCTTGGTGGATTCCAAGTTGCAGCGGATTTTTTTTGTCCTCAGACGATCTGGCACGGATCGTGGGGATCGTCTCTTCTCGGGACATCATGCTGCAGGTCCTGGACCAGCTGGCATAGTCGGCCCTTGTCCCTTCCCAAACTGCCATAGGCTCAGGTTTAGGAAGGAATCGGATCTGTTAAAGGGCCCAAAGCGAAACAATGTTGGGGGGGTTATTATTGAGGAAGGGACCAGGGCGCGCAACACAGGCAGAGCGCAGAAAAGAGTGCCACGAGAGACTGGATCGAAAATGGTGACAGATGGAAGTTGGAGATCTTCATGTTCATTTCCGCGGTTGATGTAAAAGATTTCGGGACACTATATGGTTCTCATCCCTTGAACGGCATCGCCTGAAGCGCTCGGAGATGCGGTGCTGGCAGTTTTGTTGACACCACGGCGTGAGACAAACACGGCAGGATTGGAGCACAGAGGTGGCTGCAGCGTACGAGAAGTGCCTCAAGGCCCTCCGGCGCCATGTGAGGCCGAGTCCGAATGACGCACCAAAGCATAGCAAAGCGATCAGGCTCGAAATGGAGGATTCACACCTGCCAAACAGCGCACAACCTGCAGCTGTGTTTGCAATAGGGAGGCCTCAACAGAATGCTGGGATTGTCTCACAATCAAAGTAGAAACCTGGCGACTACAAATCCTACAGCTGCAGTCTTCGCCAGAAACCCTAAGTGGATTCTGAGACTGAAAAGGTTTATTATGAAACATCATGAAACATCACTATGTAAACCAATCTGAACCAGGGTTTCATGCAAAAAAAGATGCCTAGGACGCCGCTTGCTTTCGGCTGCGCACCTGCGTCACGAACGTCTTCCTGTTCGCCTTTGAGCTCCTGCTGGTGCTGCAATTGGAGGTGAAGTGCACGGTGCAAGGGCTCGTGAAGGAAACCATCGTCGTCGGACTCCAGAAGACATATTTACAGAAAAGCATGTTGAATAAGAAAAAGAAATTCTGTAAATCGTGGGTGTTTGTTCAAAGGGAGGTCCAACATGTTTTTGGCTGCCTGTGGCCAGGGAAGGGCATGCACTGGGGCCTTGTGGTGCCTTTAAATCCAGGTTCTTGCAGCTTGCAAGAGCCGGTTGTGAATTAGAAAAGAGTTGTTCCACCATGTGGAGAATTGTAGAGGCAGAGAACATTATCATCAATCCCCAAGGCCCTACTTATGCAGGTGTTTCACAAGCCCTATCTCAAGGGTTTCGCGCCAGGGCACACTCAATGACTCCTGGTTCATGGTGCGCCTTGGATGAACCACTGACCGCTTACCATCCGGGCCGCAGCGAACGATACCATGGAGAAAGTCCTGCGTTGCGCATGATATCATATAGCCTGTTCGAGTTTGCTGCAGGTACTGCTTTCGGCTTGGCTTTGTTAGTATATAGTTATCCTGGTAGTCACCAAGCCCGGTTCAAGCATCATTCGGTGGAAAAAGTGGTGCCTAAACAAGCACGGGGAAAGCAGAACAATTTCTGAGGATGTGTCCCTGGATTGCATTGGAGGCGTGGCGGCGGACATGTTTGTTTGAAGGCAAAATGATTTTCCGGTGCACCGTATACTACCCAGTGACAGCGAAAGCGAAAAGTAAATCCAACTGTAGCTGTGCAACCTCAAGGGTATTTGTCCAGTTTGGGCAAGAAATCTCAAGCAAATCATGCCAAACATCCTCATGGCATCCATGAGTAGATCCCGCCACCAAGGGCCATGATGAACTCCTTGACCATTAACCATGTCACCGGGGCTTTCGAGGACCCGACGTTCCCGGTCCTTCCACATCCCGAGTCCGGAAGCCTTGCGTTCAATCTGCGTCTCTCGCAGATTTGGTGGCTCCTTCACCGCCTCTACTACTCCCGCGTGGCCTGGACCCTGGCTGATCCAGAAGCAGCCGTGGCCACAGAGAACGAGGCGCCTGGCGCATGAAGCGGCGCAGGAAGCGGCGCTTCGGTGAGGACATGAGTGAAGTATCAAGCACTGGAGTCTGGTCAGGTTTCCTTTTGGCTAACAGGTTGTCAGTAGGGGGATTGAGGGGTCCCTCGCGTTCCAGGGCAGACGACGTTTTGCGTTTTTTAGCAGCCTTAAGATCTAAATGAGGCTGTCTCTACCACTGGCAGGCATGTTTAACACGTGAGTGCACTATTGGGCAGGCTTGGAAGCTGTTGACATCTTCCAGCTTTTGGTGCTTCTTTGTCAGTCGCTTGCTGGCACAGTATGATTTGCAAGGCATGGATCATGGAGCCGGATGGTGCAGTGTGTGAAGGAATGCTTTAGCTGGTCCTGTCAGTCAATTAGAAGCTGAGAGATGGCCGGCCCAGCCCGGTCAAAAAAACACACTGACAGCCTCATTTGTGTCTCGACTTGGACATAAACAGAAAATGACAGAAACATCCGCATGCAGCAGGCAAGTGCACAGTCGGCACCCCCGACCCATGGCAATAGCATACGGATGGCTTTGCTCAGTCGTCGGATGTGTGTGACATTGGGACCTTATTGTCCTAATTGTCTCACAAGTCTTGAATATATAGGTTTTTGAACCTTTGCGGATGCCCATGATGCCCGAGCCAGGAGGTCTGACAGGGGGAATACCTGCGTTCTGCGCTTGGTACTTTTGTTCAGCCCCTAAACCACCACAGAGGGGCGCTTGCAAGGTTTCCTGCAGAGGGGCGCCTTGCGCTTGCTGACCTGTATCTTGATCGCTGTGCGGGCTGATTCAACTGGTGGTTCCTGGCAGCCTGGCTTAAAGCCAGATGTTTTGGGTGTGATCAGGAGCAATTTGCTCATCCGGAGCGACCACAACATGTGAAGGAAGCGGCGTGCTTTCGGTGATTCAATCCAGTCCCATAAAAACAGCTACGGCAAATCAAGACGAAGGTAGAACATCAACGGCAAATGTGGGTGCGGCATCCTTTGCAGGAGAATTTACAGTATGCCAGGATGCGATTCTAGGTGGTGGGGCAACCAGGAATGGATGTAGGTTCAACATGGTTTGCTGCTTTGGGTTGACCATAGGCAGTTTATCAAGGAGTTGTCACTATGCAGGGACGTTTAAATCTTCAGCTCTTGACATCGGGGCCCGCCTGCGCTTTGATTTCAACGATCTTCCTCATGTCAGTCCAATCTAAGGTTTGCAGTGTTCGTGCCCCTTTACATTTCCTCGGTTCTGGCGGTTGTTTTTGCGTGCATTGTTGCTTGGCATGTAATTCGGTCAATCTTGGATTCTTGAATTTGTGCACAAAGACAGCTTTCAGTAGAGTTGCTGGTTGCCATGGCTTTTGTGCTTTGTAGAGACTTGAGAGGCCAAGAAGGTCCTGTAGCCTTGGCTGGCTTCAGGTGAAAAAGAAGCAACCGTTCCTCCATGCAGATGATGAGGAGGAGCAAGGTGGGAAGCGAGACTTGCATTGTTTGACTTTTGTAGGAAGGTTCATCGAGGCTCCTGATCCCAAAACAAGCGACTTGAGGGCGTGCTGCTTTCGAGCCCACCTAAGTGTTCAACAGTTTGTTCCGATCGATTCAGTGGTCTGTGGAGGGGTCGCCCAGTTTGTACTCGCACCCACGGCCAGTGCTGTCGACTGTTAGTGGCTGTTAGACTGTCGGAAATGAGGATTTGCTTGGCATGTTTTTGTCGAGCTGGGTACACCCTTGGTTGAGCATCCCAATGAATGAAAGCCATCTCCTTTTGTGCCTCCGTTTTTGGTGGCACATGGGCTTGACAGGATTTTGCGGTTGATGCCTATCAGGCCTATCAAAAGATTTTTGCCAAGGTTGTTCTGCTCAAGTAGGTCATGTTTGCGGGGTCTCGTGAGAACCGAAGCAGTGCAGCACATTGCCCGCCCAGCAGATTCTGAGAAGCCCTTCTTTCTATAGCGATTCTACTAGCGATGGCCTCCAACCTAAGAGCGATGGCCTCCAACCTAAGAGCGATGGCCTCCAACCTAAGAGCGATGGCCTCCAACTTACTAGCGATGGCCTCCAACCTAAGAGCGATGGCCTCCAACCTAAGAGCGATGGCCTCCAACCTAAGAGCGATGGCCTCCAACCTAAGAGCGATGGCCTACTAGCGATGGCCTCCAACCTAAGAGCGATGGCCTCCAACCTAAGAGCGATGGCCTCCAACTTACTAGCGATGGCCTCCAACCTAAGAGCGATGGCCTCCAACTTACTAGCGATGGCCTCCAACCTAAGAGCGATGGCCTCCAACTTACTAGCGATGGCCTCCAACCTAAGAGCGATGGCCTCCAACTTACTAGCGATGGCCTCCAACTTACTAGCGATGGCCTCCAACCTAAGAGCCATGGCTGTCTTTCTATAACGATTGTCATTCGCCCTGCTGAGCACCTGCTGAGCACCTTTTTTGATATTCAAACGATGGGCAGGCACCGCAGCACCCACATGCTGCCTCTCCTGCATTTGGTTGGCCATGCTTTTCTTGGCGGCGGGGAAGTTGGATGGACCCTTGGCGAGAAAGAAGGATCAAAGGAAACCATAGACATAGACGATTCTTCACATAGACGATTAAAGACACGTTCTCGTGTTCTAGAACTGTTGATGAGATGCCAAATGCTGTGTCTTGTGGGACCTTTCTTCAATTGTTTTTGTTCCAACACCTCAAAGAGTAGACCGGTGAAGTTGTGGGCTACGGAGGTGCACCAAAAAATCTACATGAGCGAAAGGTGCTTCTGGATTCAAGTGCAAAAGAAAACATCAGGTTCCCGCTCACCATATCCTTTGTAGATCCCTGCTAAGCATCTTCCACGTCGCATCGCATCCCAAAGGTTGACCACAGCTTGGCAATTTGTTGCTCACATGGCCCTCCATTTGCCCACAAAGGCGGCACCTACTCTGCAGCATGGATCTTCTCGCCCATCTTCTTCTTCATGTCTTTGGCATCGCGGCAAACTCATTGAATGCACTTCAAGTCCTGATGAGTATTGATCAGTTTCTTCGTGCTTCAGATTCGCAAGCTCACAAGGATTTCAATCTCCCGCTTCTCAAGCCCACCATCCCAAGTTTGGGACTCCCTAGTTTTTGGCTGGATGATTTCACTATATAGAACCTCCCCAACCCACAAATTCCGTTTATTATGATTGCCTGACCGCGGTACCTTCGTCAGATTCGACTGGTGGAAGCACAGCGGCCTAGGCAGTTTGTTTGCTGAGCGTGGGGATTTCGGTTGCCCAACCGCAGCACTTTGCGCACGCGGCGGACATCATGGGTGAACCCATCGGCAAACCAACCGAATGAAGATAATGTAGATAAGGCCACACTGAGACCGAAAGGTCTTTGGCCACGGTACACTGTACAGTACTTCAAGTTGCCTACCCTCTTCAGCAGAATTGTTTGCTGAAGAGGCAATCATTCTTTGGCTCCATAATTTAACAGCTCCGACGCTCTTACATTGGGCCAGGCTTTTCACGTTGGGTACCAGGTAGCCCTTGGACAGAACCCACGGGAGAATATATTAATGAATGAAAGAGACCACATATAGGGAGGCGTAGGAGGCAAGTGATGGATAAACCAGGTGTGAGTTAGTCCTTGAAGATGATCTTTGCGTGTTAGTTTTTTCTGACTACGCCTGGCGAACCCAAACACATATGTGTTCGTTGGGTATCGAGTTGAGTGGTGCAGTCTTGCTCCGACTATCAGATACTATCGGTATTCTGTGGCTTCTGAATAGGGGCTGCCGCCAGCATTGGCTTGGGGGAGCGTCCCAGTTGACGCCTGTTCCAAGCGGTGTGCTCAAGGCACCTCGCAGATGGAAAGCACAGGCGCTGCACAAATGGAGTGTCCCGGTAGGAGTGCTGCGCAGGGATCCAAAATTGTTTGCATTATCATTTACAGCAAGCAAAGTCGAATATCTTGAGATTGTTGACAGAAGTAGGTAGCTTCGACTTTCCTGTAGGGCCTTGGAGAGAGCACGGCTTCCAACCTACTAGCGATGGCCTCCAACCTAAGAGAAATTGTTTGTTTTTTCCTATCAAAAATGTGACTTGCCAGGTGGCCGCGCTAGCACGCCTGCAAGTGCAGAGGACCATGTATACAAGAAAGTGACCACTGGTGGAGAAAGCACCAACCGGGGGAAATGGGAGTGTGAAGTAAGCATGAGCTGGAGAAGATCGCTTCTGCTTGCGGGTCCTCGCGGGGCAACCCAAAGGCCTCAAGAGATGCGCTTGATAGTCACATCAGCCAGACATTATACGGTATGTATTTCCCTATCACTCAGGTGCAGGAATCGCAGCAAAAATATCGAAAATATTGCGAGTCTTGTCCTTATGTCACATGATCACTCAGAAAACACGCGTTTGTTCTCATGTTCTTACTGACCTTGAATTCTTGGCCTCCAACATCAGGACATCGGAGCCTGACTTGCTGCTAGCGGCGATCAAGACACTCGGAGTGAAGGAGGAAAATATGAACATTTTGAAATATTGCTGGATGATGCTGGATTCCACCACTCCCTGATTTGTGGATGGATATCGGAAGCCACCATTGGGTCAACTGAAGCATGTCTTGGCATTCGTCATGTTGGTTCGCTTTCATCATGTTGCCCTACAGACAGCCACATAGCTGTAGCTTCCTCGAGTATCGTCCTCCCAAGAGAGTAAGCACCTATTGAAGAAGCAGTCGGGAAGCAATTTAAAGAATACATGTTGTATGATATCACCATACATAACCGTGTACTGTTGCACAATTTCGCGATGCCCGCAAAAAGCAAGACGCTGATCTACAGCTGCTACAAACAAAGGAAGAAGGTATGCAATATTTTTATATTTTTGTTGAGCACAGACAAGAAACACGTGAAACAAGAGTTGATTGTTTCAGAAGTTACAGTTCAGACAGAAATTACAACAAGAGCTATGGTTGGGCCAAGGTGTGGGGCGCCCACCTCCCCACCTGAGAAAGATTAAGTCCAAAGTTCCTTCGTTCAAACTTGGGCTTTCGCCGGTAGATGTGCCAAAGTTGGGGGAAGGGGCAGGACCCCTACCCCAGCCATATCTGACCACTGCATCCTAAGGACAGGGCGGAGGTGCAACCACAGCCCAATGCATGCCGCGAAGGGTTGAACACGAAAACAAGCATGTGTTTTCAGATTCAATGATATGTAATTAATATCTTCGGGATTGTTGGAAATGTTGGACCGTTTGCATGAGCCAGTCTTACTTTCAGAGCTGCAATGCAAAAAGTTTGATGAATCCTCCTACAGCCCTATGCACTTGGGCACCGACAAGGAAGCACTCGGCTCACAACATGGGTTGCTGCGTCAATATTGACCTTGGGGAGCGGTTGTATGTTTGAAGAGGTGAAGCACTTGGCTAGGATAAGATTGTGGAAGCCCCACAACTTGGAGCAGTGAACGTTCTTTCTATCGAAGTGATTGCTGTTGGGCTTGCAATCGGTTTAATGAGCTGTAGTGCAAGGGGGATGTAAGCGGCGAGTCTATAACCATCATATCCTCAAGCAAACACATTTTGGCCCCAACGTGTTGGCAGGTCAGTGAGAAACCGCGCCGAGCTTCTGCAGTGGTTGGCCTTGGCAGCTGCAACGCGCAGGTGGAGAAGATGGGAAGATTGGGGCTCACAGCAACAAGCGGCAAACTTGGGGGCAACTCCAACCTGGCAGTGTCATTGCCCGTACGGCAGAGCTTTTTGGGGTAGGCCACTCATTTTGAGGCACACTAGCTGAAGAGAATACCCAGAAGATGTGATGTACGGTTCCGGGATTGGATTCTTGAAGTATATAGCTTGCAAGAAGTTCACCTTCCAAGATCGGTCAGTGTGATTTGCCTCAGAGGGGGCAGAGGCCCAGGTGGGGCATCGAGGCATTGTTTCTGTGACGTCAATGTCAACATGAGTCAGGCTCAGGTTCGATGAGCTCGACTTCCAGAAACCCTTGAAAGAGCAGGTGCACATTTGGGTTCACAGAGCGTAGGGTACCCATGGGACAACTAGAGTTTTAGAACTATATAAGGCGGCAGACATGTTGTTGGCCTTCCTTGGAGAGACAAAGATAGATGCCATTGATGTGCGAGGATCCATGGCTCGGCCCTTTGTTGGTTCAAAGCCCGTGCTTTGTTTCCTTCCCTTATTAGGAGTGGCCAACAACTAGTCGATCAATGTCGATCATACAAATTTGCACAGCACACGTGGGAATACGGAGAAATCGGTTTCACCCCCAGGCTTGTTCAATACGATCAGCTTGTTTGCGTTTGCGGGTCTTGAAATTGCCTCTTGGCATCGCCCTCGAGGGCGTCAGCGGTCAAAGTCCTTGTTTGACAAGTGCATCAAATCCTGCTGCCAAGACTGGAGCCCTACCACGAGAATGATCTATGTGAAGCATCACCACTGCATCACCCAGTTTTGTTGTTTTCCTGCCTGTCCAGGTAGAGCTCCTTGCCTCCAGCAAGCTCTATGTGGCATCCATGGGAGCGACATTACTGGTGAGACTGGCCAGAATCATTTAATGGAATGTCATGAACCCCTCCTTTGTTTGGTTCTTTCTTTCTCCCACCCTCTCTCACTCTCACTCCTTGTTCTTTCTTCGTTTGTTCTGGCCAATGTCCACAGAAACCCCACCACAATCATTGCTTCACACCTGTTGGCCCCAAAATCGGCGTGCGACTGTGCCAGGCTGGTATCATGCTACCAGCTGATGCTGCTGTTTTGGCCCTACCTGCATGTCATAAGGCCGTGTCGGATGGGTTAATTGAGTGTGGGGGTGAGTACAGCGCTGAGCGAGCTGTGGAGAAAAGTTGTTTTCTTGCGGATCCCACTGAAAGATACTGACAAATGGCGATTTCCGGAACTAGACAACGTCAACTCCAAAGTATGCGGTTGATTACTGGGTTACGATACAATACGATACACATATATCGTTTGACCATGTTGGAGCAATGTGGCATCCAAACTAGATTGCTTTTGAAAGAGTGCGGTATTCATTTGCAGTGTGTACTCAAGCTAGCTAGGCCATCCGGGTCGATTGGACCCTTCTCGACCTTCAGCCAACCTCGTGTCGATGGCCTCCAACCTCGTAGCGATGGCCCTCAGGCAGCAAAGTGGTCCTAGAAACATGTTGTTGGCCTATTCGCCTGAGTTGTTATAAGAGACAGGGGCATCTGACAGACCCCTCTGCGGGAAAACGACTTCAACACATTAAGTCTATGCTCGCCTCAAGAAGTATAAAGGTGTATGTATATTGTTGATTTGTGACGCCACATTGCCATCGGTCGCTCGATCTCGTCAGATGCCGGAGGGTCACTCGTGGAGTGGAAGGGGATGCATTTGATCCAACGCCATCAAGGCTCGAAAGTCAGGGGGCTTGGTTGGCACGAGCGTGGCACGCCATAGAGCGTGGTGGCGGCGGACCGCCGGTTGTTCGTTGGAGGCGAGGACGCCTCGTTGACCTTGGAGAGTTGGAAAAGGAAGCAGACGCGCTTGGGAGCGCGAAGTGGTGGGAAGTGGCCGGGCCCGCGCCAGTGTGTGTAATACACATTGGTAGCGGAGCCCATCACGGCCGAGACCGATAGGTGAGGACGCTGATCGATCTCGGAAGCTGTGAGGGTTCCAGGAAGGTGATTCGATGCCGCCTAAAGAAGTTGGAGGAAACAACACTGGCAGCCTCAGCCATCTTCCCTGGAGTCAAATTCCAGGATTCAAACCGGGCGAAACAGAACTGACTGAGTGGACCAAAAAAGTCGAGTTTTTGGCGCAGTTGTGGCCGCAGGAGCATTTACAGTTGTTGGCCCCCCGCATTGCGCTTCAATGTGAAGGCTCAGCGTTCCAACGTGTTTCCCGCCTGGATCCAAAGGAGTTGCGTGTGAATAGTTTGGATGGGGTGAAACTGATCGTGGAGACCCTCGGAGGAATCTGGGGGAAGTCACGACTGGAGGACAAGTTTGAGCGTTTTGAGAAGGCCATCTATGGAACAGTCCAGCGGTCGGATGAGACCCATGAGAGCTACCTGGCTAGACATGACCACCAGTTCGAGGAGCTGATGAGTATGAAAGTTGGGATTGAAGAGTTCCGTGCATACATTTTGTTGAGGAACTCCTCCGTGGGCCCCGAGGACAAAAAGCGGTTGATAGTAGAATCCCAGGGATCCCTGGATTACCGTTCCGTGGTCACCAACCTCAAGCTCTTGGGAAGCCGGTTTTTCCACGAGGTTCACACTGGGAAGCCAAACACCACACGTACAAAGACATATGATACAACAGCATTGTTCACAGAAGATGAACCTGCATTGATGTCATCCCAACACTCCACTGGGGAAGAGGAGCATGGTTTTGTGGGTGAACACTTTGTGGATGACTATCTCATTGAACAATTGGCCGAAGAAGGTGATCCTGATGCAGTTGTTTGCATGCAGTTTGAAGAAGGACTCATGGACACCTTGCAGGGAGACCCCGACATGGCCGCATGTTTGAATGCTTACACTGAGGCTCGAAAGCGCCTCGCCGATCGAGCCAAGGGGTTTTGGGGACCCTCCAAAAAGGGGCAGGGCAAAGACAGAAAAGGAAAGGGTGGCCGATTCGATTTTCGACCTCGGAAGCCACTCGCACAACGCATTCTGGAGAGCAACTGTCGACGTTGCGGAGCCCGTGGACATTGGAAGGCGGAATGTCCGCTCCGAAATCAGAATTCGGCAGCCTCTGGATCCACTGCACCCAGGGAGAACGGAACGTTCACGGGGTTGACCCTTCATGAACTCGACCGGAACCAGTCCAACGATGATGAAGACGACATGATACTTGCGGAAGCCACTTGGTCAACAGCGTTCATGGTTCAGCATGTTCCTTTGGGCCAGAGTAGGGGTAAAACAGGTCATAGGGAAAACATCACAACCAAGATGGGGTCGCAGAACGTTCGGTCATGCACTCTCAGGCTGTTGCCAACCATGAAGGCTAGATTGAGCCTGGACCGTAGCCCCCTGACTGAAATCACTGGCCAAGAAACGCCGGTGGAGGCCTCATCGTTTTTTGTAAGTCATGGCTCATTCGGAATTGTGGACTTAGGCGCCAGCCAAACGGTGATCGGAGAACACCAGGTGAATGAAGTCATTAAGCAACTGCCGAAGTCCACTCCCGTCCGAGAAGTGTCATGCAGCACGGTTTTTCGATTCGGCAATAGCAGTACAGTGAAGTGTGATCGAGCCCTGCTAGTTCCACTAGGACCTTATTATGTCAAGATTTGCATTGTGCCTTCGAAAACGCCGTTCTTGTTATCAAATAACATGTTTAGAAAGCTCGAAGCCTCGATTCACACCGCCTCAGACGAGATTTTCTTTGGACGCCTGAATCTGCGACTCCCTCTGCAGCTGACTGAAAAGAAACTGTACCTCCTGGATTTTGCAGAACTCGTTCGTTTAGCACAGAAGGATTCCAGCTCACAGGCACGAGGTTCGACTCAGGTATGTCCTGACAGCATCCTTAGTGTGAGTGAAATCCCAGGTTCAAGGTCGCAAGATCAGGTTTCGGAGAATCAGCCGTCATGCACCACCACCGAACAGAGCGATTCGTGCCCAAGCCATCCGGATCCGTCGAGTGAGCCTGATCGCCATGTCCAGCAGCAAGGGAACATCCCTGTCAGATCGCTTCAAGGCCCTGCACACGGCTGTGACCGCCGAACAGCAGGATCCGGAAGTGATGACAATCGAAGAATTGTCCATGATGAAGATCACATTCGGGGAGGCCAAGCGAGGCCAAACCTATCGCGAGGTGCTGCAGACCGATCCCAAGTATGTCAGCTGGTTTCTCAGTCGCTACCAGGACAGTTCCAAACCAGCCCACAAGGCTTTCGTGAGCTATCTTCGGAGGTGCATCGAGGAGGAGGAGACCAACCGGGGAGTGACCATGGACGTCCCTCAGGTCACATCGACCAAGGGATATCCCAAGGCAAAAGCAAGCTCAGCTTTGCGCCCTGCATCGACAGAGGAGAATGCGGTGTGGCTGAGCGAAGGGATGTGGGACGTGGTGGAAGAAGATCACGAGAATCATCTCCGCGATTTGACCATCGAGCATCAAAATCACCGACTCGATCAACTGGAAAGCACGTTGCAAGCCATACTCCAGGTGCTGACGCCAAACAATCCCAAGCTGGAAGCACAGGCAGCGGGCACCACACAGAACGAGACCAAGTGAGAGCGGTGACTGAGCCAGAAAGTCCACTCAAAGTGCCGAGTGAGGTCAGATCCATGCTCATGGATTGCACCGGGTGTGACACATACCAAGAGAATCCCGAAGAAGTCATAGATCAGGCATATTTTCAGGATCTTCAGGTCACGGTCAAGAATCCCATTTTCCAAGAAATGTGCCAGTACTTTGGGAAACACTATGGAACCCCAGAAGCCATCGACAGTCACTTGAGCAAAATAGGGATTGACTTGTTGGAGGTGTACTGTGACACTGAAAGTCAACTGACCTCACAGACACAGGAGCTTGGACTCAAAGCCGTTCGTTTTTGTCGCCATAACGGAGACCTTGGGACTTTCGGAGGCCGTTGCAAGCTATATGATCTCATCTGGGTGACCCGACCTCGAAATATCTGGACATCACCCACCTGTGGACCATGGTCTGGATGGAGTCATCTGAATGCCGGGAAGTCCCTGATTCTCGCGGAAAGGATCATTCGGGCCAGGTCTCATGAGAGATGCCACCTTCACCTGTGTGATGCCTTATGCCGAATGCAGATTCGTAGGAGGTCAGATTGTCATTTCCATCTTGAACAACCAGTAAACTCAGATATGCTCTTTCAGGGAGAACTGTCCTTCATTGTGCATTACACGCTGCAAGCTAAGTTCGACATGTGCACAGGGGGAAACTTGAGACATCCGGAACACGGGGACACATTCCTGAAGAAGCGTATGCAAATTTGGACCACATCAAGAGTACTCCATAGGACCATTGAACAGTGGCAGTGCCTTGGACATCATAAACACATGCCAATTGCCGGCAGCTGTCAAGTCCCAGGCCGTGGTCGAATGCCAGTGACTAAATACACGGAGATGTACACTCGGGGTTTTGCGCGACGAATAGGCCAGGTCATTGGACTCATAGCCAAGAACCATGAAGAACAAGCTATCGCACAAGGTTTAGACGACATCTTAGTCGGAGAAGATACCCTACACAGGGAAGTGAAGCGTCGCCGCATTGAGACCAAATCACCACCGGAGCCAAGCAGTGCACCGGATGTGCACGCTCGAGTCGCTGAAATTCTCCAAGAAGCCGACCATGTCACACCGCGGGTCGGAAGAAATTGGATCACACAAGGAAAAATCATTGACAAACTTCAACAGTTGTTTCCGGAAAAACAAATCATTGCTGTTGATGCCTGCAGGGGAATCAACCGACTCAGAATACCACCAAAGAATGTACCCCCACAAAGCTGTCCGTTTCGACGAGCAGTAGGAAGGAAACGAACCGATCAAACAACCATGGTAGATGAGGACTGGGAAAATTGGACAGTACTTTCGAATAGACAACAAATTCGGGCCGGAACACCCACTCGTTTGTTGCTCACCATGTTTGCTGCCGAGCATAGCTTGAACCAAAAGAGTGTGAGCCAACCATATGAGCCGGACCATTTTGGACCGGACCAAGGGGAAATGCCACCAACGCTGAATCCTGAGACGGCTGATCGAAATGCCGAACAGGAGCCGCCCGAGTCAGAGCCAGAGAAGTCCCGTGTGCTCAAGCCGGTCCATGGACCCCTGTTCCGTGCATTGCCGGACAAAGTGCAAAACCAAATCATAAAGGTCCATAAGAATCTAGGACACCCTGGTCTGCCTCAATTGCGAGCCGCCTTACAAAGTGAGGGGTGGTCTGATGTTATCATCAGAGCTTTGCCGGATTTCGTGTGTGACACCTGCCGAGAACAAGAAGCCCCAAAGATTGCGAGACCTGCGCATCTCACAGCTCCCAAGGACTTCAATGATCTAGTTTCATTTGATGCATTGGAATGGAAGACCACCGAGGGGAAAAGTTTTTGGTGTTATCATTTCATTGATTCTGCCACCAATTTTCACACTGCCATTCCATATCAGCAGGGAACATCGCAAAGTCTCATGAGGTGCTTCGAGGATGCCTGGATCAGGTGGGCCGGTCCACCCAAGGAGGTGATGTTTGACAGCTGTGGAGAAGCCAACAGTCAAGAGTTCGGCGAATTCCTCCAAAGCCATGACATCAAAGCTTACCCCATACCTTCGCGAGCACATTGGCAGTTAGGAAGAGCAGAAAGAAATGGGGCAATTCTTAAGACCATGTTGTCTAAGTACCATGCAGAGCAGTCCATCATAGACCACGAAGGTTTTCGACAAGCATTACTTCATTTGTGTTGTGCCAAGAACACATTGTCCAAACATGCTGGGTACAGCCCTGAACTCTTGGTGTTGGGAAAGAGCCGCCGCGTGCCTGGCAGTCTGATGGAGAATGACCCTCAGGATGCCTCGTCATTTCTGGACACGGAAGGAAGCCACTTCCGACACCAAATGATGCTGCGAGAAGCTGCTCGAATAGCATACGTCAAGGCTGACCATTGCTCCGTGCTGAGGAAGTCATTGCATGCCCGGTCAAGACCGTTTCGCATGAACCACCAAATAGGGGATTGGGTAATGTACTGGAAATCATCTCGAACCGAAGGGGGTCGTTGGCTAGGACCTGCCCGAGTCCTCATGGTTGAACACAATGCCATTTGGTTGTCTCATCTCACAAGACTGTACAGAGTAGCTCCAGAACACGTCCGAGTCTTGTCCTCGCATGAGCAGCTGTTAGCCAGAGAATTGAAAGAACTTGGAACCACACCAATTCAAGGGGCAGGAGTTTTCCAATATCAGGACCAAATTCAGGAAATCCCAAGTGAAATCCCAAGAGGAAGTAGGGATGCACGGCCCTCAGAAGAAAGCCCACCGGAAATCATTCCTGGCAACCCTGAGGAAGTCCCTCGTGGAAGTCGACCCAACTCGATAGGATCAGAGCAACCCGACACAGAACCTGAAATCAGTTCAACTCGACCAGCGAGTCCGACAATTGGGGATAGTCCGATGCCGGATGCCGCACAAGTTCCTGTGCCAGAAGATGATGATGACAGCCTGGTGGTCACGAATATGGTGCATGATCACTGGCAGGTCGTAGGGAACAAATTGATTCGACACCATGTGAACCCACGAATGAGGTATTTTCATCCCACTGACGATCCATCATGTCCCATCCCAGTAGAGGCCTTGGAAGGACATCGCTTGACACTAGGGAAAACTCAGCATGGCAAGCCAGTACATCACCAAGACGTGTGGAAAGACTCGGTGGTGAGCCACGACTGTGTGTCAAGTGTGTGGACAGGAAAAACTGTCTTCCAAGTAGACCCACTGAAGGGGAAGGATCTTCAAACTCGAGCACCCACTCCACCCATAGAAGATAGCAAACCCACCGGAGTGGAATGTGAAATCATGTTGACAACTGCTGAAATCAATAGGTGCAGAAAAGTAAACCAAAAGCAACAAATTGCACTCATTGCTTCAGCCGCCAAGCGACAGAAGATCGAAGTAAGAATGAGAGATCTGTCAGCTAGCGAACGAAAAGAATTCGAACAAGCCAAAGAGAAAGAACTCAATCAGTGGATCTCGACCGAGACCATTCGTCGAATCCTTAGGAGCCAGGTACCTGAACACCAGATCCTGCGAACGCGTTGGATCCTGACCTGGAAACCACTCGATGAACAGACAGTTCAAGAAACAGGAAAACAGCGAAAGGCGAAGGCAAGATTAGTCGTCCTTGGATATGAAGATCCCGACCTGGACAGTGTGCAACGGGATAGTCCCACCCTTGGCCGGGACAGCCGGACGCTCGCCCTCCAGATGATTGCGTCCCAAAGATGGTCATTAAGATCATTCGACATCGCAACTGCATTTTTGAGAGGAAGCAAACAGGATGATCGAATCCTTGCAATCGAACCGCCAGAGGAACTTCGCCAAAAGCTAGGCCTCAAAAGCAATGAAACATGTGAACTCCTGAAGGGAGCATACGGTTTGGTCAATGCACCACTGCTTTGGTATGCCGAGCTTCGTAAGGCACTATTAGGACTGGATTTCCTGGTGTCACCTCTTGACCCATGCTTGTTCATCCTACCAAAGAAGACTCATGAACGACAGTCCCACGACCCCTGTCAAATCCACGGAGTTCTAGGAATACACGTAGACGATGGAATCTGTGGGGGGGACGCAATCTTCGAGAAAGCGATTGATGCCTTGGAAAGAAAATACCCATTTGGGAGTAAGAAGACCCAAAAATTCGTTTTCACCGGAATCCAAGTCAACCAAGAAGCATCAGGGGACATCACCCTCAATCAGACCGAGTATGTAAAGAACATTCCCCCAATTGACATTCCACGGGAAAGACGAAAAGAAACCAAAACACTTGCCACAAAGGAAGAAATTCAGGGCCTTCGAGGATTGATTGGAAGCCTCCAATATGCTGCCACAAATACACGCCCAGATGTGTCATGCCGACTGAGCCTGCTCCAGGCTAAGATTCCAAATGCTGTCATCGGAGACTTGCTCGAAGCAAACCGATTACTAGATGACACAAAACGCCATGCCGATGTCCAAATCCGAATACAATCACTTCCAGCTGGGGAGGTGAGGTTCATGTCATTTTCGGATGCCGCATTCGCGACTCGAGAAAGGGCGCATTCCCAAAGAGGAACCTTTATTCTAGCTACCACCCCAAAGGTAGAAGAATCACAAGGGTCCAGGGTAAGCCCTCTAGTCTGGAGCTCTAAGAAAATCCAACGGGTAGTGTCAAGCACGTTAGCATCTGAAACTTATGCACTCTCAGGAGCACTCGATCAACTAAGTTGGATTCGATTGCACTGGAGCTGGATGCTAGACCCGCAAACCGAATGGAGGACACCGGCCGAAACCCTGACTAAGCTCCCACAAGCATTTGCTGTGGTAGATTGCAAAAGCCTTTTTGACCTTCTTCAAAAGACGGCAGTCCCATCATGCTCAGAGTATCGAACACTCTTAGAGGCCTTGGTGATAAAAGACAGACTCAAAGAAGGGATACTAATTAAATGAGTACATAGCGCAGCACAGATGGCTGATTCGCTCACGAAAGATATGGATACCACAGTGATGCGAACCTTCCTCCAACACGGAAGATGTCGACTTCGTGATGTCGAAGAAGTCCTCAAGCAAAGATCAGACAAACGTCTGAGGCAAGCGTGGATCCAATCGGCAGCCCCCGTGAACTCGCAAGTGTGTCAATGTTGTGTGGGAAGTAATCTGTAAATGATTACAGGGGATAATAACACTTGGAGTCACCCTGTCAGCCGAGATTCAAGAGTGAGCCAATCTCAAAGCCTTGCATGTTTTTGTTATAGAACTCTTAAAGAAGAGAAAATTTTAGGAATGTTGATTTGTGACGCCACATTGCCATCGGTCGCTCGATCTCGTCAGATGCCGGAGGGTCACTCGTGGAGTGGAAGGGGATGCATTTGATCCAACGCCATCAAGGCTCGAAAGTCAGGGGGCTTGGTTGGCACGAGCGTGGCACGCCATAGAGCGTCGTGGCGGCGGACCGCCGGTTGTTCGTTGGAGGCGAGGACGCCTCGTTGACCTTGGAGAGTTGGAAAAGGAAGCAGACGCGCTTGGGAGCGCGAAGTGGTGGGAAGTGGCCGGGCCCGCGCCAGTGTGTGTAATACACATATATATAAATATATATATATAGATTATATTATATTATACTATATTATATTACATTATACTATATTATATTATATATATATATATTATAAGTGTGTGTGTGTCCTGCTCACTGGCAGGAACCTTTCCCATCGCCAGTCTCGCAGGTGGGTCCGGGCCGCAGTGTGACCTGCGAGACGGAAGAGCTTCTTTTGGGCTGCGGGCTGCGGTGGGCACCGTACGCATTCTCAGCTGTGCGCGTTCCGGCTGGGAGTGTGAGAACGGCGGACCAGGTGCACAGGTGGTCGTATGGACAAGTCGTGCTTCAAAAGAGTCTTTTGTCTTAGCCCCCTTCCCCCTCCCTACTTAATTGAGTAGGTGCCTACTTGATTAGGTAAGGGCACTAGTTAGCTACTTAAGCTACTAGTATGGACGCAGGATAGCTCACGCTTCAAGGAAGCTCGCACGAATGAAACATGTTGTTTCCAAAGGACTGAGTCGACATCGCGCAATCGGAAGGCGTCAGCGTTCGTGTCCAAGGTACCCGGTGGCTTTTGACGATGTGGTTTACACCATTGGCCGTGGGTTTGACTTCATTGCACGCCCCACCCTCGGTCTCACTAGCTGCTAGCTTTACCCATCGCGGGCTTCGGCATCTCCCAGACTTAGAACGTAGAAGACGGTAGGCAGGAGGTCGGAAGACATCCACGGACTAGACTCGACATGTTGCTGACATGTTGTGCCGTGGTTTCTTACGCAATGTTCAACTACCGTTGGACCCTGGAGCGCACTGGAGCCACCAGACCGAGCTCGCTACAATGGCTTTAAAATGCCCAAAACCATTGGAAAAAGGCATCCCAGAGCCATCAGATCCGGTAGGAGGGAAGGAGTTTGGGGAGGATGGGAGCACTCCTTCGTTGAGGCTGGGAGCTCTTGGAGCTCCTCATCGACCAGCTCTTGGAGTAAGCCGCAGCTCGACGGACCCTTTTCATGGCGCAGCCATAAGGGCTAAGCGCAGCCGCGGAGGTGAAAGAGCTTCAATCCGCGAGCCGCTGCTGGCCCGGAAGGGCTCTTGGGGTTGTTTGAGGATGTGATTTCGGATGTTTACGTTGACAATGTGAAGCAGTTCTGAAATCATGTGAACTTTTTCTTGTCCCGCACAAGTCTGGATTCATCTCTCGGAAGTCAGAAATGGTCCCCGTGTTCACCGGCGACAGAGTGGCAGGCCATGGACCATAGATGGAAATTGATGCAATGGAAACCCTTGGTAGCAGTCGTTTTAAGGTTCTCAGAAGTTTTGAGAGAAATCCCAGTGAGAATCTCCACAGGACGTAGCGGGGCTGTAGTGTAGAGCTCCAGTTTGATGTTCGACAAATACCGTAGATTTAGATCTCAGTTGTGACCGTTGTAGCTTTAGGCTGGAAATAGGGTATGTCCTGAGAGCTTACTCCGTTGTGACTTGTTTGCCACGTGTTGTAGAGAGAGTAAGGTGGGTGGCCGTGGGTCGTGGGGTGGGCCGTGCTTGGCTCAAAAAGCCCTGGACTTTGGCCAGGCTGAAAGAATGCGAGTAGCTTCGAGGAATAAAGTCGTTTGTCAAGTCTCCACTTGCACAGCACTCCATCAGCTTTGAGAACGCAGGAGCCATGGGTACAGGTAACTTGTAGGGAGTCAGAGATACATAAGTCGGCCCTTGCAATTGACCCAGTCTTGGGGCTGACACCTCCTGTGGCCGCGGCCTCGAGACGAGTCTGACTGCAGTTGATGGCTCCCGTTTCACTCCTTCTCTCCCGCCTCATTGATAGTTGAGAGCATCCAAACACTGTCAGAAGATGTCACAAGTAAAGGTCGTGTCAGAAGCATAACATACGGAAGCACATATATTATACAATATAGTATATAGATCATATATGTATCTACATCACTGTCGAATTGAAACGCCTAGCCGACGTTTACCTCAAGACTTGAGCTCTGCACAGTTTCTCAATGATTTTCTCATTCCAAGTGTTGGAAACTGAAACACAGGTCCACTGACTGAACTCCAGCGCTCAAGATCCTTAGACGCGGACCGCCAAACCATTCAGGCGGAGTTCGCAAGCTTCACGGTGACCGCCATGAGTCAAGATGATGCAAGGTTCTAAGACGGATGACAGAGATAAGCAGCTTGACATAGCATGACGGGAAGACAATCTTTCAGACTTTTGCACTAACTGGAAGGGCTTCCTTGACCTTCTTTTTGAGAATGTCAACCATGGAGCTTCGTTGCAGGATGGCTGCAGGTAGGTCAATCTTGTAGCCTTGTTGGCTGTCCAAACGGCGGGTCGCAAACCTAGACGCACAGGCTCTTTGTGGAAAGCCTCGTGCCACCTCGTCGTGTGGCGTATGCCGCGTATCGAGGCTTGGTTGTGGCAGATTTTCCAGAGATTGCAGGCCTCGCCCCTGGAACTCACTTCTTTCTACTCCGAAATAATTAATCATGACCGGTAGGCATGTTTGCCTGATCGGACAGGACATATCATATTAATTCAAACTTTCTGAACCAGCTGAAGTGTCATGCTTACCTGTCTTCGAAGCACGATCAGGAATCTCACTTTGAGTCTTGGAGACAAGTTCAGACACCAAGGATGCTCCAGATATGATGAAAGCCGAGAAGATGGCAAATGCCATGCGAATGACTGGGTTGAACCCAACAGAAGCGGAGGCAGCTGGGAGTGGCAAACTCCACTATGGTTTGATGTCTTTTGGATACAACCTGATACAACCAGTCCCTTCTTGAATCCCTTGATCCCTTGTAACTTATCTTTTCGGAGCACACTGGCCTGCTTTTGTGAGTCCCCGCATTTTCACGAAATGTGTCCACAGGTGTTACACACACCAACCAACGCTGTTCATGGCTCAAGAAAAGCAACGTCCGCTTTTTTCCATTGAAGGAAACTCAGGTTATGAGCCCAACAACCTGTTTTTCCATTTGAAGTCCACCTCCGTTTTTTCGGGGTTGTTGGCCGCCATGAGTGGCTTCGTTGGTCAGCGGCGACGGCGATCTTCCCGTGAAGGGGAGAGGTTGCAAGACCCGGGAGATCGAGAAGGTCGACTTCGAGTGGGTGCGGCAGACGAGCGGCTGCAAGCGCTGCTGGAAGAGCGAGAAAGCAGAGCAGCATCGGTGCCGGCGAGGACGGCAGCGGTTCGAAGGCTGGCTGCAGCTCCAGAGCAGGCAGGGCAGGCCGCGACTACTTCCTCAGCGAGAAGACCAAGCAGGGAGCCAGAAAGCCAGGTTATGGGCCGACAGAATGGGTCAGGACAGGACAAGTCACGACGGGATTGCTGGACTCAGTCAGACAGTCCCTAGAGATTTTGCAGCGAGCTTTTGGTGGGAATCCCCAAGGTCAAGGACTACTTGCACCTCTCCTTCAGCACCATGATCTAGGACACCTTGCCGGTAACGGTCCTGGGGTTCCTGCAGGGCATGGAAGCATGTTTGGTTCACCACAGTGTCCAATCCCACCTCAGGGAAGGCCGATGAGCTATGGGCCTGCAGCTGAGTTGGGACCACAACCAAGAGTTCTTGAACCCTATCCCATGGCTACACCACCGCCGATGAGTGGAGTGAATGTCAACCCGTTTTGGAGCACACAAGCACGGTCGCACCCTGTCGAAGGTGGGTTGGAGCCTGAGGTGATGCACCAGGGGGGGGTTCGAAGGTCACCAAACTACGTCGGAGAAGGTACTCAAGGAGGCCGAGAATCTCTTTGCCAAGGAGATCAAGAAGGTCACTGGTGGAGCCGAGTCATCATCCTTCGAGTCGGTGCCAGGCGCTGGCCGAGAGCCTGGGCGGCCGTCGGTTGGTCTGATGGGACCGGGCGGAGAAGGGAATGGGGGTGAGTCAGCTCGCGGTGATGTTCGAGGGTTTCAACTACATGGTCTTGAATGTCCACCAGGGTTGCAAAAAGAAGGAGTTAGTGATGGTCCTTTGAGCAGGTCTGAACCACCTGGGGGGGCAGTGAACGAAGTGTTTAGAAGCTTGGAGTTACCACCCCTACCATCTCCTGGCAGTGATGGAGCTTCGCTGGCTTTCGGTGATTGGCTGACGGTGGCGATGCCTCTCATGTCGGACCTCTCATCCTCAGCGAGGGTTGGTGGCGAGCAAACATCATGGAGGCGGAGGCGCTGTATGAGACTTGGCTGAAGTTGAAGCCGTTAGAGGTTGCGGCTTAAGGTTGATCGGCCTTTGCACCCCAGTCATGAGAGAGTGGAGCACCGTGGAGTGACCATTTTGCTGGGGGTTCTCCCTGATCAAGTACGAAGGGATGTGATTGCCTCCAGAAAGGTGAGCTGCCTGGGAATCCTGTTCCGGTTGTACACCATCTTTCAACCAGGGGGTTCAGCCGAGAGAACTGCGCTCCTCAAAAGCATCACCGAGTTGAAGGTGGGGCATGGGGTGGCAGATGTCCTGTCTGGAATTCGCCAGTGGAGGCGATGGATCCAGCACGCACAGGATTTGGGCCTGACTACACCAGACCCTTTGGTGCTGGTGCAAGTGCTGAACAGGGTGACGGAAGCCCTGGGTCGACATGGAGGTGCTCAAGGCGCCTACAGCATGTGGGAATGTGAACACGTCAACAGCGGGAGGGACAGCTCCAAAGGTGGCAGCGTTCAATTCCATGAACTCCACGGAGGAGAAACCCAAGGCTCCGTGCAAGTTCTGGGGGTCCACTCAGGGCTGCAGGAGAGGCGATCAATGCACCTATGGGCATGCTTGGGACGGCATCAACAAGCAGAATCGGTGCTTTGTGTGCAGTGGTGAAGGACACATGTCACGGGAGTGTCCTACCCGACGTGAACGAGATCAAAAGGATTCGAAGAAAGTGGCGAAGGTTAAGAACCCGTCACCCACCAAGGAGTCGCCAGCGAATGACACCGAAGCTTCTGACAGGTCAAAGGAGGAGACTGCCACTACGACTACTTCTCAACAGAGCTCAGGGTCCTTGAAGAGCACGCAGGCATCAAGGAGTCGAGGATGCAGCCAGGGACTGAACAAGGGGGCGAAGTGGCTTTGCTGGATGGAGGAGCAACACATCCGTTGAGAATGGCGGAGTAGAGTGAGAAAAGCCACCTCATTCCAGTTCAGGTGGAACTTGCTCATGGGTCAACGACGCTGTTTCGAAAGGAGGGACGCAGCACTTTGTTGGCTTTGGATGCCGTTGAGCCGATCATTCCATTGAGCTTGCTGGTGCAGCATGGCTTCAGGATTGACTGGTCAGCGGATGGATGCACAATCAACCATCCTCGGCAGGGGCCTATACTATGTTGGCTTCGGGGGGGTTGCCCGGTGATGAAGAGGACTGCAGCTCTGGCTATGCTCAAGGAGTTTGAGGAGCTGGAGGGGGGACACCACAGCATCACGACCGAGGACGTCCAGTGGTGGGAGGAGAACATTCTTGGGGTTCCGGCAAAAACTGCTGGAGTTCATGAAGGGCCAGTCATGGTGTCCATCAAAAAAAATGACCTTCCTTGGAACCGGAGACAGAGGAGGACGCATCAGACTTCAAAAGGAATCATTGCGCACCTGTTCTCTGGGGCCAACGTGAAGAAGTGGAAGGACTCCGTCCCCTCAGGGTATGCATGGCTGTTCCTGGACCCGCTCATTGGGTCGAGGTATGATCTCCACTCACCTCAAGTGTGGGGATATCTATGTTCGTTGGCCAAGCAGGGTCGAATCAGAGCAGTTTTAGGAGGTCCACCATGTAGAACAGTCAGCAGGCTGCGAAATCGTGGTCCTCCAGGTCCTCGCAAAGTGAGAGCACGGGGTGATCTGAGGTGGGGCTTGGATGATCTATCTCCCAAGGAGGCGCAGCTGGTTGCCAATGACACTACATTGGTCCTCAAGCAGATTGCACTCTGGAAGCTGGCGAAGCAGGGGCACCAATTGACAGGCTTTTTGCTGGAGTCACCAAGAGATCCAGCATCCTACT